GAAAAAAAAAAACAACAATTTTTCGGTATTAGAGGACCTCAAAACTTGTATTTCCGTCGAAATCTCGAAAACCATTTTACGCATCAATACATAACTTTCTACTAACTAAAGTACTAACAACTAACTAAAGTAAAAGTTCACACACTAATAGGTTCACAATACCTGATTCAAAATCATTTACAGCGCTTTAGAAATGGAGCAAATTATTAAACATCTAACCACTATTATATACACCACAGTTAAAAAGTTGCATTAAAAGCAAAGAGTACCACCAACATAAGCAACAAGAGTACAAACAACAAGTGTAAACAATATGAACTTCCTCTGGAGTTAATCTATTAACTTCATAATATCTGGAGTGCAACTAAGAACAAGAGGGTTACAATTGGAACCGAATACTCTAATCAATATTGTATGAAAAACAGTCCAATCCAATACTTAAACAATCATCTATTCCAAACCGTAACACTATCACTAAACACAAAAACAATCAATTCCATTTGTCATTCCATAAACAGAAGCAAACATCCACTAAATTGCTCTATAGGGAAGCCAACCCAGAATGCCAAGGAACTAACAATTTACTTACCATCCACATTCGTCTTAATTAACATTAAACCGCACTCTAACATACCACAAACAGCAATACAGTTAACAAACAAACATATTGCTCACATCATAAAATACAATTCACGACACCCAAATAAATGTATAAATAAAATCATCCAAACACTACCTACCAAGAAGGCCCCTGGACTTCAAAAATTAACAATTTAATTTTAGAAAATCTACCCCCAAATAGCCATTGCATATTTAACCAATATTTACAACTCAAGCCTCATACAAGATTACTTTCCACAAGAATGAAAACATGTAATTATTCTTCTGGTAGACAAACCACATAAAAATGCATTTCTAATAGATACCGTCCAATCAGTCTACATCCCACATTATCGAAACTATTAGAGAAAATGATACTGGAACGATTTGAAATCTACATACATAATCAAACACCACACTTAATTCAGCAAATGGGACTCACCGAAAAAGTGTACACGCAGCACCAACCACTGAAAATTACGGAAAATATTCTTACTGCATATCAAAAACATTACAACATAATAACAATCTTACTCGATATATCTCAAGCTTTTCATACACCATGGCACAAAGCCTGAAACTATTAAATATGCCCTCTGCATATTCTCAGTCAAATCAATTCTAGCTTCCTCCACAATAAAACTTTTGCCGTTGCAGTTGATATCCAAAAGCACTTAAGACTCACTAATCAGAAAGTGGTTACGGCAGAACTACCTCAAAGCCCTCCGCAATACCCAGTCCTAAATAACTTGTACCAATCCGACCTTCCAAAATAAATTAATATAAGCACAGTTTAATTCGCTGACGTTGCGGCTATCTATTCATCCGGTTTCTTCATAAACACAATAAGAAATAATCTTGAGTTATATATAAACCAAATCGAAGAATGGGCAGCCGAAATCAAAATTAAAATAAAGTCGACAACAAAAGAAGCCAAAATATTTTATTTAAGACTTTGCACACCTATTCCCCTAAACAAAACCATCATAGCACATCTACTTTTAAATGTTTGCTCAGTGTGGATCAGCGCTACCAAATTGTCAAAATTTTTCTAGTAGTCCAAAATCAGTTTTTTCCCGCCACCACTAACGCGCTACGGTTAATCACCACTGCGCAACACCACAAAGAATTTCTGCTGTAACCTTTAATCAAATACATTTTTTTTTCACACTTCTTTCAAAATATCTCAAACATTCCCAATTTAACCTTCTTTAGACATTGCAAACATCGGATCCACCAAGCCCGTATTAACGACAAATTCCCATTCCACTTCCTAAACAAATTATCAGATCTCATCGGCTAAGGTGAATCAACACCAATCTAATGTCACTACAATGTCTGTGACCGGGGGTTCTAGTGTTCGACTCCCGATGGTGGAAGGATTTTTTACCCTAGCGAGACAACTGGATCGAATTCAGCCGCTGCGGCTGGATGCTCTGATTTGTAGTTTTCCGTGTATTTTCGGATCAATACCAGACAAATGCTGCAGTAGAATCCTAACCAACGGGCCAAGGATCGCGCGAGATCTTTCCTTCCTCTTCCGTCCTGTACTAACCCCTTACTCATATTTACACTCACGTGTTCACTACCGTGCTTGCTGGTAAACCAGTCGGGAGCTTTGAGCGTGTACCGCTGGTTTGAGATTGATGGTTCGAAGAAAATTTCGCCATCCAGCGGGGATCGCCGCCGATACACTTGGGGGACTAATGAACTTAGCAGTTGATGATCCAGGAATTACTAATAATCAATTTTCAAATCTCGATCCAAAGTAGAGTTGTTATGTAAAATATACCTTTACCACCCTAGAAGTAGGATCATTGTAAGTTTTAAATAGATTTAAGTATTCATAACAAATGTAGAGAGGTTTTAGACACTCATCTTTGGATTGAACAATCCCAAAGAAAAGAAAATAATTAAAATTAACTTCTTAATGCTTTTTGAATTAATGTTACTATCTGGTCATTATTGAATTTTGTACGTTACAAGTCAAAATGTTAATTTAAAAAATTATACTTTTGAAGCATTATTTAAAAAAGATGTATTTTAAAAAAACCTTTGCATTTAATGTTCCTATTGAAATTGTTTTTATATAAAATTATATTACTTCACCTAAAATATTGCGTTTAAAACTTGAATGTTTAAAGGAAAACAATTGTGGAAATTGTAAAACTGACAGTAACTAGCGACTTGAACAACAGAAGCTGCTTCAACTTCATTCTTTTCCTTCTTTTCGATGGCATTACAGCCTTGTTCTGGGTAGTCAAACATCTGAGTTATCGCAGCAATACCAGCGTCTTTCACGCAATATAAGTTATTCATATTGCTCATCCAATGGAATAATGATGTAACGTAGAAAATTAGAATTTTACACGAGAAGCAAAATTCTGACATGGAATAATTTGAACCAACATTATACCCTCAGTAATACTCATGATGGCTGTTTTGTTTTGGGCATGTACCTTGTTTTTGTTTTGTTTTTTTACCGAAAATGGGAGAGTTAACAATTTCGCCGATGCAGAATGCCGATACAAAATGCAATTCAGCAGATGTATCTGCAGAATTATTTCTGCAATAATCCTGACCCTTTTACCTTCTTTCACACAATTTAGCAGTTACGTCTTTGTTCCATTGTAAGAACAATATGAGATAGTATGAAGAAAACATCAGACTGACAACATTGATTTACATTGTGTAAGTAACTCAACACAAAGAGTAATATTTTCATGGATCATAAAAATTGAGATATACATCAGATTAAGAAATGTCAGTGAATTTTACAGTAATTGGTATTCTATAATTCCCGAAATGTGATAAAATTGTGATAGAACCATAGCTCCTACATGGCTACAAAGGTCCCATTCAACTCATTATTAGACCGAAAATTTGGTAAAATTCCTTTCTATTATTGTTATAATTTTAAGATTTTTTGACAATAGGATTCATGTTCATGTGCTTCTGTATTTATTTTACAAGATTTTTATTTCGTTTTCTTCCTTTCTATTTTAGTCTATTGACGTGTCTCTTTTTAGTAATTTGCCTTATTTTGACCTTTTCCTTCATTTTTGTAATTATTTACCTTTTTTCTCCTCGCTCGAATTTCGGCCAAGCCAGAAACATACCCGCACGTCTGGACGACACGACGGCACTGTCGTTTTGTCATTCTCTGCAAGCGTGGGCACGATATCAAGCAAGAAGTGTCAAAAGAAGGTTCCAGAACCAGGAAGTGTTAAAAACCGCTACGAGAAACTGAGATGATACCAGTAAAGGATTTTGTATTTCTTTCATAGATGCCGCCGGACTTTCATCACGAGGGATTCCAACATACCTTTGAGTCTAGCCCCCGATCTCTTAAGAGGACAAATATCCCTATATGACGACGACCCTGTCCAAATCCTGTAATTACATAAGTTAGACAACGAAAACAATAATTGCTTTATTAATGATGCCATTCCAAATTTATGAGTCCACAACATAATTTATCACAGACAGCGTTACCAGGGAAATAAATTGTCATCATATGCCACTATCAATTTTCAGTAGTGAAACTGAAAAGACTCGTTGATAGCCAGAGTATAAAAAAGCTGGCCATGTGCAATCAATGTTACAAGGAAAAGATAATTTCCATTCATGTAAGTGCTTATGTTAATTTTAGAGTTAGAATATAAAATTTTAATTATTCTTCTTATTATATTTGTTCAATTTCCTTTGGTTACTTTTCAGTGCTTACTTGACACGTTCACTCCCATTTTAGCCCTTCTATTTTAGTAAAAAGATGTCTCAACCTCGGGCTATAGTTATATTACAAAAATGTTATACATAAAATGTCCAATTATTTTCCTATGCATTTGTCTTTATAACTGCATAAGTGTTATATACACAATACGATTGATCATTCTTTGTGTTGATGTTTTTTCTAAAATTTGTGTTCAATGAGTCCAATGCTTTTAGATCACACCTTCTTCGGAAATAATCTTTAAAAATAATATTTCCTTCCGAAAATTAATCTACTGCTACAAAAACTGTAATCAATATTTGAATAACACCCGCAAAAATATTGGTGTGTAGGTCACAAAGCGTCACTGAAAATGAAGAATGATTCTGCTTTGACTTTGCATGAAAAACTAAAAAACTAATAGAGAATAGACAATTTATTTTTCCACTTACATTGAAAAGTTATTTATTTCCATAATCAAAGATATGAGCAATGCGAAAATTATTCATTCACCATTTCACCCGTTTTCTTTGGACCTGTTTGTACTCTTATTTACAACTGTAGATCTTCTATATTAAAAGTAAATCTATTTTCGCTTAATTCCATTTTTTTCTTGTAAACATTAGTATGACAGTGGCTTCTCAAAGTAGTAAAATCCTTCATGAGTACTACATTCATTTCAACTAACTCTTTGTACACAGGAGGAAGTCTTTGAATTCCCAGTTCGTCTGCTATCTTATCTTCATATTCCCATTGCAGATTTCCCAGTTTATGAGCATGTCTGAAACAAAAAAAGTTATTAAACTCTTGCTGTCATAATGTGTTAAAAACACACTTTAGACACGACCCTTAACTTTTTTAGTCAATTATTCACGGTGAAGAAACAATCAGATTCCAAAATTCACGCTTTACAATTAAATTTTCCAGAAATATACTGAAGCAGACCATAATTTAATTACGAATGGATGCGGAGAGAGATACTACGTCGTATGAGTTAGTCAATACAAAATTCTAGAATTTTGAATGGTAGGTTCTTCAATCTTCTTCATATTTCATTGCATTATTACCTTCTAGCACCCACTTCGTAAGAAGAGAAAGTATTGTATAATTTTTTTCTTGGCGAATGAGGGCCTATCTTCACGATGGAATATTTCACTGCATTTCGCGTCTTTCTCGGTCGTACCGCTAGAAATCGCATGATCGCCAGCATTGCTCGATACGGTCGCGATCATGCGACATCTAGCGGCACGACCGAGAAAGACGCGAAATGCCGTGAGATATTCCATCGTGAAGACGCGACAAGAACTAAAAACCGAAATATAATCGTGCCAAGGAATGCACCGAACTTATTGCCGGACCCTAGTAACAAAAAAGGGGATAAATCATGTTCTTATATATAATAAAATGCATCCTCTAACACGTTGCGTAGATACCGAAAATTCCGTGATACCGAAAAATCGATTGACGCGAAAACCTCTGTCAGCACTCAACGCTACGCCTACACCGGTCAACCAATTTTCTCCAAAATTGATGTTCATAGATAAATCTGAACGATCTCGAGGCTTGGCGAGTTTGAAATGGATATTTCGACTTTGGAGGTATAAAACCTCAATAACAATTTCAAAATTTTCTCAATAATGGATCCAAAATTTTCCAATGAACTTTGTCCTCGGATGGCGTAAAGAACGCTTAAGAGAATGGTTAATTGTAATTCCTGTTCGTTGTAATTCCTGATTTTTCGAAAAATGCAAATGTCAGCTTTTTTATAAAAACGCTTTTTAACGAGTAGTTTTGGTGTAATTTGTGCTTAAAATGTATTAAAATATTTTTTAAACGATACTTTCAAAAACCGCTCCAAATTTCTTCGAATATTTTCCAGTTAGAACAAGCACCGCATAAAGGAATAGTGGAGGACTTATTTAGGTCTGAATTTTCGAAAATTGCAAATTTAGATATATTGTAAAAAGTGCGTGTTGGTGTCACACAACTTTTTATTGTAGTGATAGGTAATTACTTCTCAAAATTAAAGACTCCTAGCTGGTAGGGTCTGGCTACAACAAAGGGAGAAAAATGTAGATTACAGTTCCAAAACTTTTTAAAAATATTTCGTAATAAATACACTGTTAATCCGTAAAAGAACAAATAAAGCTCCAATTTAAGTTACCTGTGTAACGTATTAGCCAACGTGCCTCGTGGCATCTATTTGGTAGAGGATTAGCCTCGCCACAGGAAGGAGAGAAGGGTTTTTCCGTAAAGCAAGAACGCGGAAAAGGGAGACACAAGGCTTTGGGGTCTTCCGGTCTTTAGAAACCTTTAATTGTTATAACAGCGGTGGGGGTGGCGTGACGTAGTAGGTTCCGTGAGCCTCGTCTATATAACGGAGTGCTCAGAGCCAGCGGGTGGGTTCTGGAGACAGTGGGAGAACCTCGTGCATGTGTACAAAACTTGGCGCCACGACGGTGCATATGCGAGCCAGGCTCGCGAGGCAAGTCACGAGTTGACGAAGCCTGCGGAGGACTTTGTGTCCTTGGGTGACTGCGGTCACGGGGGAGCGATGCTGTGTGCGTGCTCCGAGGTGAGGAGTGGTTGAGTGCCACGATTCACGCCGATTCTCAATCGGATAAGTCGCTCCTGCGATCGAGGCAAACCATCCGTTGGTACGCCAGAACGGACTTTGTGTCCCAGTGTGACATCCGGTCACGGAAGCTAGGCTTTGTGCGCGCTTCAGAAGTAGGAGTGGCGAATGCCACAATCGAAACCGATCATCAATCGGGTTTGGATCGCTCCCGCGATCAGGGGATAGTAGGTCTATCAGAGCTAGGGTGTAAGAAGGCATTTAATTGTAAATATTTGTTGTGTTTTCTTTGTTAATAAATATATTTGTTATATGAAAGCTCTGTGTCTGTGTTCGCTGTGAGTATCCATGACGTCACACCTGGAAGTTTAAATGGTGGTAAAAGTATGTAAATCATTGTTAATAATATTTGCAAACATTGATGTAAAATTACAACATATTAGTTATTAAAAATGCAACATTCTGTTTAAGATGATTTTTATAATCTCAACCTTAATTCGTAAGAAGAGTATTGTAATCGTGCGTCAGAAAATGTTGGCGAATTTTCGTCGGAAAAACTCTTATTGTTGAGCACTGATAACAAAAAAGGGAATAAATGTTTATATTATTTATTATTATTATCACTTCCACTAACACTGTGTAGGCAGATTACATGTTTTGTGGGTCCTTGATACCGAACTATCGATTGGTCGCAAAACCGGTATCTGACTATGTGATTAGCGCTAGCGCCAAAACCGTTCAGTAATTTTCTCCAAAATTGATATTCCTCGATCGATTGAAAGGAAACGAAGGCCACCTGAGTATAAAACGGATATTTTGATGTTTGGCGGTACTTTGCAGGAAGCCTAAGCGTTTTCAATTTTTTTCAAAAATGGCAGCAAATTTGTACCGATACCGTAAAGGACGCTTAAATAAATGGTGCAGATCTCACTTTCGTTGAAATCCCTGATTTTGAGGTTATTATGAGTGTCTCTGTTTCCTTCGTTAGTGCTTCACTTTTTACCCTCAATATTACAGGTAGACATTTAACACACTTATTAGAACTCAAATTTGTCAACAATCACAACTGAATATATGTGATTGTTGACAGGTTTGGAATACGTATATAATAATTTTTTAAACGTATGTTTTTAATATTGAGTTGTACCCTAGTTTTTCGAGAATTGCTAAAGTTAGAAATAATTTCGGCGTCTTCCAAAAATATAGAAGATAGAGACTTTTCCTGTAAAATATCTATTGTTAAAAGCAATCTTCTTCCTGTGAAAAAATCTATTGTTAAAATAACATTGTGTACAATTTTTTGAAAATATCAGTGCTTTTCTCGTAACTTTGGGTGAAATGCAGAATATTTTTAAATAATATTTTTTCTTAAAACGGCTCCAATTTTTTTTTTTTATATTTTCTCCTCGTATTTGAGAACACGCAAGCATACCCTACCGTATACAACTATAGCTAGAGACACTCGAACGGTAAAAAAATGGTTTCATTCTCATTTCCTGGTAAATCTTGTATTTTCGAAAATTGTAAACAGCTAACATTATAAATGTATAATATTGAAGATGAAGATTTTGTCTCAAATGAAATCTATTCTTAACTAGTGGTGTTCCAACTGTACATAGTCTGTCTAAATCAGGAATTTTCGAAAATTCAGAGAGTTGCACGAAAATAAGACATACGTCATTCTTTTAAGTGTCCTTTCTTTTATCCGTGAATAAAAATTAAAGAAAAAATTGTAACGGTTTTTGATAATTTTTTTTATACATTACATTAATTTAAAGCAACAATTATGCGAAAAGTACTCGTTTTTCAAACTGTACACGGCCTTGACATGAGAACTGATATGATGGAATGTTCAAGATTTTGTGTTAGGCAACATTCTCTATCTTCAACTTTGCTGTTTTCAAATCTAAACTTTTTGCAATTTTAAAAAATACAGAGTGTCCGTCAAAAATGATACTATCAACAAATGTTTACTGTCCTTTTATACATACGAAGATGTCATTGGATGAAAAAGTTGGAAACTCTTTGAGTATAATTGTTTAAAAAACATTAAAATTACTTATATTTCAATTTTCAAGGAAAAAACGCAAAAACTACACATATTCGAAATATTGTACATGACTTTATTTCAAGAACTATCATTAAAGAATAGATTTTATTAAGAAAAAAATTTCTCTTCAATATTGTAGTTGTAGGCCCGAACAGTTGGTCGAGTTTGCTAGGGTAGTAGAGTCGCAGCGGTCTCGGACCAGAAGACTGTGGGTTCCTTTCATCCATCATCATCATCCATCATCATCATCATCATCATCATCTCCTCCTCGTCCACCCCCCCCCAGGGCTAACAACCTTGGGAAATAAAAATAAGGATTCACCTAAAATATTTATTACACCCCCCCCCCCAGAAAGGTACTTGCACCTGCTGAAGCACGATGCACGCGTGGTCGAAGTTGGCCTAGTTGGCCGCTAAAAAATTGAACTTTTCCAGTTTTTGAAAAATCAAGGATTTGAACGAAAATACGACCTATATCATTCTCTTAAACATCCTTTACGCTATCCCAGGATAAAATTTAATTTAAAAAATGGTGCTATTTTTGATAAAATTTTGAAATAGTTTAGCCGTCAGATAAAGTATTTCCCAAAATTAGAATATCCGTTTAAAACTTGGAAGGCCTTGAGTTTCTTTAAATTGATTTACCAATATCAATTTTGGAGAAAATCTGCTAAGCGGTTTTGTAGCCACATTTGATTACAAACGGACAGAGATACGAAGAGACCACGTTCTGCCGTCAATCGATTTTTTGGTTTCAAGGATCAACAAAACATGGATTTTAAGTACACAAAGTATGTTGAGGAAGTAATTTACTAGATGTAGGAACACGATTTAAACACTTGTTCGTTACCAAGGCCCAGCAATAAATTTTTCTGTCGAAAACTCTCCATTTTCCGGCGCACAATTACAATACATTCTGTCCTTATGAAGGTAGAGCGAGAAAGTAAAAAATTATACCTTTAAAATAGATCACGTACAATATTTTTGAGAAAACTAGTAGTTTTCGCGTAATTTCTGCTTGGAGTGAATGCAATTTATAAAAAAACATTTTTGTTTTCAAAAACTGCTCTAATTTTTTCTTTATTTTTTCCACGGATAGTGCAAGGGACGCTTGAAAGAATGGCACAGATCTCATTTTCGTTGAGCTCTCCGAATA